GGCTTCTATTTATGGTTTGATTATTCCGAATTTCTAACAATTAAGAAAAAGCCGCTCATTTATTCGGCTCAAGATAGGGTGCATAACCATGGGTTATGCACCCATTAATAACCAAATCTGGACCTTTCATTTAGAAAATTCAGATCTAAGGATGGAGAACTAAATACTATTTTTATTTTCACTAGCTTTCTTAATTGACTCATATCTTTTTCGTTTTAACTCGGATTTTAATTTTTTTTGCACAAATGGAACGAGTTCACCGTGCTCTACAAAATGAGATCAATTTTCAATATTTTTTTAGGAAAAAAAATTCTGGCCTCTCGGTACCAACTGCATACCATATGGTATCTTCTTCATTTTTAATTCGTTTTTGAAAACGTTTTCACAGCAGGGATGAGTTCATCATGTTCTACTGGATCTACAAATTTCTGGGTGAACAAATTACAGGACCAAAAAATACCACACAATACCATACAATACCACCATGGTACGGGGTGGTATTGTATGGTATCTTCTTCGTTTTTAATTCGTTTTTGAAAACGTTTGCACAGAAGGGACGAGTTCATCATGATCTATTGGATCTACAAATTTCTGGGTGAACAAATTACAGGACCAAAAAATACCACACAATACCATACAATACCACCCTGGTACGGGGTGGTATTGTGTGGTATACAATGTTAAAAGTCGTAAATTACAATTAATATACTTCTACTATCATGTATTCAACCATCCTACAGTATTGGTTTGTTCATACCACCATGGTACATTTTTCAAAACATAGGTATGCTTTTATTTCAATACCAGTCAATACCATATGGTATAGGCTGGTAAAAAATGGCTCAATTTTTTTTGTTCGAAAAATATATTAAAGTGGATATCATTTTGAAGAGCACAATTAATCTGATCTAACTGTGCAAAAAAAAATTAAATTTCGACTTAAAATGAGCGAGAAATCGTCCGTCAAAGATTAAAAATGGAAAAATTAAAGGCTTTCCATGAGAGAGAGGATGCTGATGTCATGCTGATGTGGACGGGTTACTCATGGTTACTCACCATAAGGTTACTCACCTGATCCATTCCCCATTTATTCATTTTTTTTAGGGTAGACCTTTGTTATTTAGGACTCTGCTAATCGTTTTAGCTCTAAAATCAATGAGGTTAGGTTAGATAGCTCCATTTTGTTTGTACCCCATGTCCGAGCGATATTGCATTTGTTACTTTTGCAAGGGGTGTATTATGTTGCCTTTGGTCTAGGGGCTTCTTCGACAATAATGATGATATGCTTGTCATTGAATCTCATAAATTTGCAGGGGCTCGCCACATTGCTTTCATTTTATAGTAGGGCTCCATGACTTTCTCCATAAAAAGGTGTTGAAGCTAAGTCAAGGATGTACTCTTGTCGAAGAGGTATCAAAGAGTTGCCCATATCGTGACAAAAAGGCTCTTTTATTGATTAATCAACATCTCGTGGGTTGACGTCTTTTTTTTTTTTTTTGCCTACAAAAGAGTTGTATTTATTTTCATATCTAGCTATTCCTTTTGGAATATCTATGAGGGAAAAAAAGGCTTGGAAGAAGGAGATGTGGCACAAAGAGCCTTTTACTAGATTGATGACTATTTTGATGTTCAAATCCGAATTTATTTGGACATGCAGGTAGTGAACAAATCGGATCGGGGATGGATGAGGCCGCCTAAGGGGATGGAGGCTCTGGAGGCTCGCATCAGCCTCTCCTTATTGGAAAAGCTTAGCCCTCAAAGCTGGAGTGTTCCTGCAAGAGACAACATCAACATAATTAACAAATGTAATTCTCCTTTGCGTAGTGAACATGTGCCTTCGAATCAAAAGATGTGTCCCACTTTCGTCCTCCGACTTTGTGCCACTTCCATTTCCTTTCTCTCTTGCCCAATTCAACTCCATTTGTCGTTGATCTTCTCGAACTTCAGCTGGCGACGATGGTTTGAGCATGGACTTCTGATCGCCTTGCTTGAACCGATAGCTATTTTGTCTTCCGTCGTGAGTAGCTCGATGATCATATTGCCACGGTCGACCCAATAAGATATGAGCAACCTGCATTGGAGCAACATCACACCATACTTCATATGCATACTCACCAATATGAAATCGAACCTTAGCCTTCTTATTAACCTTGATGGCTCCATATTCGTTCAACCATTGAAGGTTGTAAGGTTGTGGATGCTTAAGGTTACTCAACCCCAACTTTTTGACTACATCAAGACTCACTACATTAGTGCAGCTACCACCATTAATCACCACATACAACAACTTTCCATCCATCAGGCAGCGGGTATGAAATAGATTATCTCGTTCTTCTTGTTCAACTAGAGATTCAAGGGAGAGCACCCTATGATTAACTCCAAGAAACTTACCTACTAGAGGAATATCATCAATAATGTGCTCATGAACTTCATCATCATCAGAATCGATTTCCTTCCCCATTGGCTTATATTCATCATCTTCCTCTGAATAGTTTTCTCCATCTCTCAAAGCCAGAGCTTTCTTGTTGGAGCACTAGTTTTCCTTGTGACCTCGTCCCAGACATTTGAAGCATTTGATGCTTCTAGTTGATCCTTCATTTCTGGCTAGGATGATTGGGGCCGTGTTCATAACAATTGGCTTGTTACTAACAACAGAAGCTAGTAACTAAAACATGCACCCAATATAGTTTAAAGAGATAAAGAAACAAAGAACATAAGGGGAACCCACAAATGTATATGTATTTTTTGGGGAAACGTGCTTGAGGGATACCCACGACTTTGAAAAGTAAGCCGACCCAAAAAGAATCCTAATAATGTGATTCTTGTGTAGGGAAAATGATGACGACATTTCGTTGTAGTTTCCTAGAAGTTAACGAGAGGAACAACAAAAAATTAGTGATGGAAAATGGGTGGGGCTAGTGATGTAGCAATCAAACTATAAATCCTAGGATGCCCTAGGGTTGTATTTCACGAGGTCTTTTGATTGTAACTACTCTATTCGTGCTACTGCTCTACTATGCAAACAAAGGAACAAATAAGGCAAGCAAACAAGAAAACAAACAATGGAAGCAACAAAAAATAATGTTTAGGAAGTAACTCTATATGATCATTCACTCATTCTCATTAACAAGATACTTCAATGCTTCTTCTTAAAGATGCCCTATCCCTTCCACTAATGCTTGCGATAGAGATTTGCCTAGCTAAAGCATGCTTTCGCTTCATGCCATAATCTAATCAATGAAGAACAAGGAAGTTAGGATAGCACACATTTAATTGTGGGCTTTTACGAACCATAACGATGGTCTATATCATCAATGATCTAAGAATCAAGCATCATTCTTAGTCATGCATAGAAGGGTAGGTAGTCCTCCTATACACACATAAGAAGATGCCTACTGCACGAGATTCATTTCCTTGTTGCCCATAATAGTAGTAAACGAGATACTATAGTAGCATTCATAATAGAATCATAAGCATCGATCAACCAAAGAATATAATAATCATAGCACCGAGTAACTCAAGCAATAGCTGAAACAAGCATAGATTGACATCAAACAACAATGATAAGAATACTTATACAATAAGCATCTCAATAAATCATAGAAATAATACACAAAGCATCATCGAATTGCATCCCTCAACAGATCGAGCTAGCTAAACAAAGAAGGATTAGAAAACATCACCGTAGATGATGAAGCCATCCTCATCGAGCTCCTCCTCCTCTCCTCGGCTTTCTAACTCATGCCCTAGGGTAGAGTGGTTGTAAAGTGTGTACATAACCTCTAGTCTAGCCTCCTATTTATACTAGTTACAAGGGGGGGGGGGGGGTTATGGTCTTTTTCCTCCTAGAAGTCAGCCAAAACCTTCCTTATCCGACTTGAAGTCGGTTTCCTTCAACTTGGGGACAAAGCTACTTGTTGAAAATTTTTCCTAAAGGACTTGGGCCAAGCGGCGGTTGGACTTGTTGCTCTCAATTCTTCTCAAAATCGACACATTCTTTGGGCAACTTTATCTTGCGCTCATGGACTTGTTTCCGAAATTTCAGCCCAATCGGACTTCGTAGTACCCGTATGCTCTTCAAAATACTATAATTTGGTCCATAACTTGAGCTTCTTGTGTCAGAGTCCATCTATGTTTGGGGCAATGAGCTTGTATTCTAGTAATCCTTCTGATCCATTAGGTCTCTTGACAATCCATATTCATCTCGAGTGATTTATATTCTTGAAAATAAAACAAACAAGGTATCACATAGTATAAAAACATACTCAAGATCTATTATAAACATATTAATTAAATAGTATGATTTTCATATGAAATATAGTCAAAACTACTAAAGATGCATTAATAGAAGAGGAAAACTATCAAATATGGGAGTGATAAACACTAAAATATGTGTGTCATCAATTGGGAGGGTATCTCAATACTTATATCCGTCCGCACCAAGCATGGGTCGTGTAGGTAATACCAGTGTGGGTACGGGATAGGGTGGGTCGACCCCCTCTTACATGCTATTTGAAAAAAAATACACGTTAAAAATTGTACTTCTTATGATAAAACTAAGCGAAAACACTTTATGAATGAAAATAGTAATATAATGGGTAATTGAGTCTAATTAGTTGAAAAATCAAGTCTAACTAATTGAAGAAAAATATAGGAGAAATATGAATAAATATTGTTAGAAATTGAGATATAATGAGCTAAGAACGAAACGAAGCATGACTAGTCAAAAATAGATATCTTGCCTCGTCCCACGCTAGTCCTGATCGGTTAATACCTGACAGGACGGGTTCAAATTGCCATCCGTTATCAAAATCTCTATTATATTCCAAAAAGTTAAATTGAGATCTTTTCCAAAGCCCAACGAGCATTAGTAGATGTCTAGATGACTAGATGCGCCGGGCCCAAAATGTCGACCTCTACTGAAAATCGTCGGATCCGATCCAGTAGGAATTTCAAGACTGAGATTTTAGGGTTCTAACATGTGATCGCCTCTATAAAAACAGAACTTCCATCCCATTCGCAAATCAACACTACTTGATCTTATCTGAGCGGGAAACGAATCTCTCACTCGCCTAATCGGCAACTCTGCTCCGTCTCTGTTTTCTCTCCGTCGCTTTCTCGAGCTACCCTGCCCATCTCCAATGGTCTTTGTTGGCGGCTCTTTGCGGGGGTAGGATAACGGTGGCGGTGTTCCCATTTTGGCTTGCTGTTGAGGTTCGTCAATCCGGCGGTGAAGACTGCCCGCAGGCTGAGCCCATCGTCGATGAAAATCTCTCGACTCGGCTATGATGGCGTCGCGGGCTAAACCCCCCAAAGCCCTTTTAAAATAAAATATAAAGTTCGCGTCTTTTTCGTTTTTTTTTTCATATGCAGAACTTGGTTTCTAAGGTCGATCTTATTAGGGTTATGCAATCGTTTGTGAATGGTTTTGTTTTCTTACTTGTTGACTTTGCCTGTTCTTTAGGAGCCGCTATTCTACTGCATTAAGATGAGATTTAAACTAACAGATGGTGCTCTGCGTTACTGTATAGAGTGTTTTTTTTCTTCTCCAGATTGGTGCAGCTTCTAAGATTGGCGGCAGAGGAGCAGAGCTTAAGAAGAGGCTACACAAGCGAATTCTTATAAGTTATAGGCGATAAGTAATTCTATGGAATGTAATTTGGTTGGTTGTAAGTTCACATGGATGGGTTGAAGGGGTGGTTGGATTTGGCGTGAGATTAGTAAATTGGTGGAATGTAGCATTCGAGATGTTGAGAATATGTCAAATGCCAGTTTTAGGCGTAATCAGAAACTAGATAGTAAACTTTGTATGTGTTTTCAAGTGAATGAATGTTTGAGAATATGTCAGATTTGCCATTCCCATATGCCCACAAGTGAAATTGCAGTTCTTCTCGCTTATGGAATTGCGACATTGGTTGAAAGAATTGAGGCATGAACCCTTCTTGTGAAATGCCACATGTTTTGGTTCATGCCACAAGTTTTCATGTTTATGTCTGTATGAATGAATTTGTTTAGTTTCCATACTCTTGTTGCCCAATGCAGTAATGAACTCTTTGATAGCAGTTCCAAACTTCCCATGAGTGAAGAATCTGTAGAACTTGATTATGTAACAGAAAAGTTATCAGCAGACGATCTATACCAATAATCAAATAGCCTATCAAGTACAATGTATATCTGATGTCTCTTCTGTGTTTCATTTCATTTCCTTCTTTGGCGGCCAGGGTGAGCCTGCCCAAACTGCCTGCCAACAAAAGTCTGCACAAAAGACCAGCTCTTAGGAGCAACATTGAACGAAGTGACAGTTTGAACATTACTAGTTATAACCTTGAAAGACACCCCTTGCCCTTGCAGGTAACCATTCGTCTGCCAATTCTGGCACCAGTTCCTCACCATGGGCAGCCACTTTTCACCATGGTTTGAACCCTTGACCCACATGGCCACTACATCTCCAGCACCACCGACGTTCGTCACAAGCACAAGGTTGAAGTAAGCATTCCCAGTAGTGGTGAACTTGATCCCTCTTTTTCTCTTGCAGGCGATCCTCGTGTACATAACTGGGACTATCCCTGCCTTGTAAGCAGCCGTGTGCTGGAAGATCGGCTGGATGACATCAAAGTGCTTGTTGGGCGCATTGCACCATCCTAGCCCTCCACTGGGTGTAGACACCAATGTGGGTCGTGTGTGCATTTCAGCTGGAAGCATGGTCCGCAGGATTTGCCATCGTTGAACAGGGCTGTGCTTAAAGCTGCTGTCTTTGTGCCATAGCCTTCGCTGTACAGATTCCCGTATCCTCAGGCCCCTCCTGTTTAAGAGGTTGTGTTTTATTACATATGAAACATGTATACAATTTGTGATTGGGAAAGGTATGAGACATTGCTTGATTTTCCAAGTTCTCAGCCGTATGGAACTCCATTAGCCAAACGTAGAATCATGAAGAGTCGAGGAGATAGAATTTACGTTCACAGAGTCTTTTTGTAGTTATCTTTTTCAACGATGCTAAAACTTACCCATAGTGCCCTGCCAGAAGCCTCGCCACCACCGTAGAATGTGGCATGGCCGGTCATCCATCGACCTAGAGGTTGGTGGGCATGAAGACTATGTCTCGGTTTGTCGACAGGATAGCAACGACGAGTGGGTGGAGGAGGATGATGTTGACCACGATGCAGACTTCCTCCATGATGCGTTGGATATGATCTCTTGTGATGTATGGGTTTGACAATTGACATTGTGGCCTGGTGGTTTGCCATCATGATACTTCTTACCCTGAACCTCGCCATTACCACCGTGGTAGCCTGATCGCCCGCCAAATGCTTGTGTAAATGCCAGAAGGGCTAGTAGTGGCACAAGAGAAGATCCTCCAATCAAGTCCATCTTGTGGGAGCGACATTGATGGGGGACATAAATTTTCCATAACGGAAAAGAGGGAGAAGTATTTTATACAGGGGATGATGCAGACAGACAGGCAGAGGTAGCTAGAAGACGACCGGGGGAAGAAAAAAGGAAGTGGCGGCGGCGGCGGTGTTAGGACTGAGGATTCTAATTGTTGTGAAGTTTGCCGGCCATCGGTATATGGGTTTGACACAGATACGTTGTTAATAATCCGAGTCGAGTCAAATTTTGTCATAGTTTGGGCTCGACTCGTTTAAATACTTCCAAATTTGAGCTCGGCTCAGTTCGTCATGAGTTTTATTATGCATGTTCGAGGTCGGCTCGTCTATGAAAATGAAAGCTCGAGTCGGCTCGCGAAATAAGTTTAACGAGTCCAAAATCGAATTTAGCTCGTAAAATGTTCATTATAGCTTAAGATTGAGCTAGAATTGAGCACAAAATTACATTCTAACCTATAGCAAAGCAAAGGAAAATAAAACACAATATTTATCTGGGTTAATACCTTAGTTTGGCCCGAATTATACACAAACTTTCTACTTTGGCACGTGGTTTCTGAAATTGCTATCCTGACCTGAACTATGTATCATACTTCCTAACTTGGCTCGGAGTCAGGTTTGACCGTCAAATTGGACGGTCAACTCCGTTGACCGTTAGTTAATGGCCAACTCACTTGCCACGTCAGCAAGCAAGGTATAAAAAATTATATATTTGAATTTTCGTATTCATTTTATTTTCTAATAATAATAAAAAAAAAACAAAGAGGATAATGATTTTCTCTTCACAAACTTCCCTGCACCCATTGCTAAGACCCTCGCATGCCTCTCTCACTCTCTCCTGCCCATTCCAAAGACGAGTGAAGAGGGATGGAGCACATCCCCATTTTTGGAACTCGGATATGTTTGAGCACCAAGCTCCAGATCTGGGAACCAATGGACAATGGCGACTAGACATCCTAACTCATCGATCAAGAACTCGAAACGAGGCCATGGTTACGAATTTGGACAAGTAGATAGCTAGGGAAGCTAGGTTTGGATCGACGGATGACGACGAGGTGGGTGGTGGCGATGGAGAAGCCCATTTCAACAGGAGCTGAAGCTCTTTACACAAATGGGTTCCGATAGCCATTTTGATGAAGGGTGTGTTGGCGAGTAACATGATTAGGTTATCCGATAGATCAATTTTCCCAAATTGAAGTTCTCCGGCAGGGAGAAAAAGCAGAAGTAGGACTCTCCGGCTTCCCAGCACCGAGCTCCATGGATGTGAGCAGAAGGAATCAATTGATTTTGAAGGAAGAGGGGGGACGTGGGAGGAAATCAGAAGTCGTAACCCTAAAATGGCTACCAGAAGGGTGTTTGAAGGGTAGAGTCGGAGAGCGGGATAGAGAGCGGCAAGGGAGTCCGGCTCCATGGAGAGAGGTGGAAGCGTCGGAGGAGAGGCGGGGGAGCGTTGGCGTCGGCGGAGGTAAAGGGGAAGGAGGATGGATTTGGGTTTCGGGGAAGAAGGGTGTTTGGGAAATCGTTTTTCTCATATTGAGGTGGGTGGGGAGGAGATAAATTGAGGTTTTGGATTTTTTTTCGTTTATTTTTATTAGAAGAAAATGAATAGAGAAATTCAAAAAATATAATTTTTTATTTCGTGCTTGCTGACGTGTCAAGTGAGCTGGCCATTGACTGACGGTCAACAGAGTTGACCGTTCAATTTGACAGTCAAATCTAGCTCCGGGCCAAGTTAGGAAGTATGGTACATAGTTCAGGCCAGAGTAGCAATTTCAGAAATCACCGGCCAAAGTAGAAAGTTTGTGTATAGTTCGGGCCAAACTAAGGTATTAACCTTATTTATCTCAATTTAAGTGTCTGAAGTCCATGAATTTCAATTCTTTATGATGCCAAAACGTTAAATGAGCTTGTTCGCGAGCTTTCGAGCTGAACATAGTATGGCTCGAGTTCGGCTCGTTTAGTTAATGAGCTTGTTCGCGAGCCGGCTCGATTAAGACGAATTGAGTGTCGAACGAGTTTTTCTTGAGTCGGACATAGAGTCGTTCGTGAGCGGTTTGGTTCATTAACAAACCTAGAGGTATGAATATGAATGTTGCGGTTTTATCATCAGAAAGTAAAATTAGCTTTTAGGGAGAAGAAATTCTATGTTTTGTTGCTTTTATTTTTAGGCCCCGAGCAAGGATGGCAAACCACAATACCTAACTGCTCGCGGGAAATCCCTACATTTACTAAGTATGAGACTGGTATGAGTAAAATTTACGATAAGTCTGATGGGGATGAGACGAGTATAATTTTAGCCTCTCTGCCCTATATACCATACACATATCGGTCTTACCAAGACTATTTATTCAAAATATATTAGAAAAATCAAAATGTAACATGTCAATGGAAAGAAGGATAACCAAAATAAATAAAGAGTTGAAATGTAATTGAGTGGTCAATCAAACCAAACCTTAATTTCTTTCCTTCCAATTCGCTCTTTACTCTATCACTTTATCCTTGTAACAAGATTAATATAGTCATTTATTGCTTAGTCAATATGTCGAACTCGTAGATTAATAATTTGGTAAATATTGAACCTTTTTTATGGAGAATTGTAGTTTTACGATTGAATTTGTTAAATTCGTATTAAAATGGTTGTCTCTTTGTTGATTTTATGATTTATTACGTCCGTTTAGTGTTATAATTAAATCTACATGTTAAAATAGTAATGTTGGATGCATGAACGGGTATTATGGATACCTGAAAACCGCGAGTATGAGAACAGGGGTACAAAACCTCCCCAACATGGATATGAGATGAGTGTACCTTTGATTATTCGAAAATGAGAATGGTTTACAGAAACCCACCCAAATCCGCCCAATTGTCATCCCTAGCATGAGCCTGTGAATAATCTTTGTTCATTTTTAATTTATCCACCTTTTAACATAAGATAATTTGAAAATAAATTAAATTAATTTGGAAATAATAATTTGAATGTGGATGATTAGATTAAATACTACATAGAGATGTCACTTTATAGTGTCATGTTAGGCGCTAGCACAAATAATAGCCCTTAAAATTAATTTAATGACAGAAATTTACCTTCTACTATTTGGATAACCCACTCCCATGATTTTTAAGGAATTAAAACACTTCCTTTTAACTTAACTTTAGATTTTTGGATTACAAATTAGATTACAATACGAGATCCTATTTTATATTTTTAGCAAAGAAACAAACATCATTCGATACTGGTATGCACTTAGCTGTTACTAGCATGTATCCAAGCAATACTAGTAAGCATTCATTAGTTTCTGGTACTCCAGTGCATTTCTGGTATGCTTTCGAATGTTTATGTGTTTTTTTTATGTAGTGTTTGTGTTTCTAATACATGTCTACATTATGAATTCTAGCAACGAGTCAAGCACAACACTTGAATCCAGATGACCATTTCTTTATTATTCTTGTTTATTTATCATATTTATAAGATTATTTGTATGCAACACGTGTTCTATAAGTTTGATTTTTAAGATTAAGTGAAATTATATGATCATTACTTTGTTATTTCCCTAGGGTAAATATTAATGACGACAATATAAATATCACAATTAAGAACTTTTGAAAAAATTATGCCACGAGACTTAAAAACTTAAACAAAAAAACAAAAGACTTGAAAATTTTAAATGAGCCACCAAGGATAGCTCAAGTGTTGATGAATAGGATTTTGCATTGTGTACTTCTGAGTTCAATTCTCATTGCTTACTATATTCCGAAGAAAAAGATCCTAATTGCTAAGTAAGATTCATTGTACATTGACTTTGAAAATGCACATTATTGGATAAGACTAAAAATTAGATTTTTAACCATAATTTTGCTACTCGCATATAAAAGAGAATAATGTATCAAATTAACCACAAATCGTATATATCATATATGTATACAAAAAAATACTAACAGTCTTTTGTATGACTTTGAATAAAGACATTGTAGATTCTTGGGCTTTAGTGAATTTTCACTAAAATATTTGAATGCAACTGACGTAGATGTTCATTCCTTATTTCAAATGTGTAAATTATATATATATATATATGTCTCATTCTTTTATGGTTTTAGTATATTACTAATGTTATAAATATATTTAACTTGTTCAATATGAATGGTATACGACAAGTAAAATTGTTGAGTTTTATCTTTTATTTGACTAATGGGTCGGACTCTAATCTAGTAAAAGTTTACAATATTTGAAATTTTGTTTGTGCGTTTTTCTTCTATTAATTACTCTTTTTCTAGCGAATTCTATTAGTGTTAGTATCATAATAATACATCGCTTTATTATACTATCTTGTCACGTTTCTAAAAATAAAACACACACATATACTATGATATATATAAATAATAAGCACTACCCTCCCTCTTCTCTTATGTTTTTCCTCACTATTCGGTCATGCAGTTTGGACTCACTAATGCTCTAGCAGCCTTCATGACCTTGATGAACCGAGTTCTTCATGAGTACTTGGATAAATTCGTCATTGTTTTCATTGACGACATCTTGATCTACTCGAAGAGTCAGGAAGAGCATGAGAGGCATTTGAGGTTGGTCTTGCAGAAGTTGAAGAGGAGAAATCGTATGCCAAATTCTCCAAGTGTGAGTTTTGGCTAGAAGAAGTCTTGTTTTTGGGACATGTCGTCTCTGGACGAGGAGTAGAGGTTGATCCCAAGAAGAGCGAGGCGGTGATGAATTGGGTTTCACCTAAGAATGTGGCTGAAGTTCGGAGTTTTCTGGATTTAGCGGGATACTATTGGAGGGTTGTGGAAGGTTTCTCTAGCATTGCTAGGCCGATGACACAATTGTTACAGAAGGGGAAGTCTATTGTCTGGGATGAAAAGTGTAAACACTACAAGAAAAACATGGTTTAGAGTCGGTTATTTTATGCGTTTAGTGTCGGTTTTAACCGACACTAAAATAATTCGTGTCGGTTCACTTAACCGACACAAAAATAGCCGAAACTAATCTAATTTGTGTCGGTTTTGGCCAACCGCTGGAGTAACCGTCGCAAATCAAGTTTGCATCGGTTATTAACCGACACTAACAATATATATCAGAAAATACCATTTTGAAATGAAATATTTGGTTCGAGTCGGTTGAACGGACACAAAATAACCGACTCTAGTTATACATTTTTTTTAAAAAAAAAAATCCAGTTCGTCGTTGACCGGCAGAACCAGAATCACAACGACAAGAAT